TATATTTCTTTAGACTTTTTAATTTATTTGTCTGGTCTTGATTGAGTTTTGGTAAGTGGAATTGATCAAGATAATTGTTCACTTCATTTAGATTTTCAAATTTCATGTCATATAGGCTTTTGAAATAAGACTTAATGACTGTTTGGATTTCCTCAGTGTCTGTTGTTATGTCCTCCTTTTCATTTCTGGTTTTGTTCATTTGGACAGTGTCTCTCTGCCTTTTAGTTAGTTTGGCTAAGGGTTTGTCTATCTTATTGATTTTCTCAAGGAACCACCTCTTGCTGTCTTTGATTCTTTCAATTGTTTTATTTGTTTCTAATTTATTGATTTCAGTCCTGGGTTTGATTATTTCTAATCATCTACTACTCTTTGGTGTGTCTGCTTCTGTTTTTCCAGCGTTTTAAGGAGAACTGTTAAGTTGCTTGTATGAGATGTTTCAAATTTCTTCTTGAAGGCACTTAGTGCTATGAAGTTTTCTCTTAGCACTGCTTTCATAGTGTCCCATAAATTTGTGTATGCTGTGCCTTCATTTTCATTGAATTCTAAGAGGCCTTTTATATCTTTCTTTTTTTCTTCCCAGATCCAGCTGTCATTGAGTAGCAAGTTGTTCAGTTTCCATGTGTGTGTAGGCTTTTTGCTATTTCTGTTGTTGTTGAGATCCAACTTAAGTCCATGGTGGTCAGGTAGGATACAAGGAATTATTTCAATATTCTAGTATCTGTTGAGGTCTGTGTTTTGATCAACTATATGGTTTATTTTGGTGAAGGTTCCATGAGATGATGAGAAGAAGGTAAATTCTTTTGTGTTTGGGTGATAAGTTCTGTACATGTATGTTAGTTTCTTTTTGTTTCATGAAATTTGTTAGAGTCATTTTTTCTTTGTTTATTTTCTGTTTTGTTGACCTGAGCTTTGTTGAAAGTGGGGTGTTGAAGTCTTCCACTACTAATGTGTTGGGATCTATGTGTGGTTTAATGTTTCTTTTACAAATTTAGGTGACCTTGTATTTGAGGAATAGATGTTTAAAATTGTGATATCTCCTTGGTGGAATTTTCTTTTGATGAGTATCAAGTGACATTCCCCATAGCTTTAACTTTTGTATAAACTCTATTAGATATTAGAATGGCTACTTCTGCTTTCATCTTGAGTACATTTGCTTGGAAAACCATCTTCTAGTCCTTTACTCAATGTTAATGTCTACTTTGTGACTTAGGTGTGTTTCTAATATGCAATAGATTGTTGGGTCTTGTTTACACATCTATTCTGTTAGTCTGTGTCTTTTTATTGGAGAGATGAGTCCATTAATATTGAGAGAGATTAATGACCAGTGGCTCTTAGATCCTTTGATGTTGATGCTGGTTGTGGTAGTGTGTTTGTGTACTTGGCTACTTTTAGTTTGTCTGTAGTGATATTATTTAATTTATGTGTTTTCCTGAATGTAGATAGCTTTCTTGGGTTGTATTTTTTTCCTGTAGTATCTTTTGTAGTGTTGGATTTGTGGGTAATTATTGTTTAATTTTTTTGTCATTGAATATCTTGTTTTCTCTATCTATGTTGATTGAGAGTTTTGTTAGGTATTGTAGCCTGGGCTGACATCTGTGTTCTCTTAGAGTCTGCATTATGTTCATCTAGGCCCTTCTGACCCTCATAGTCTCTGTTGAGAAGTCAAGTGTGATTCTGATGGGTTTGCCATTATATGGTTTTCGGCCTTTTTCTCTTGCAGTTTTTAGTATTTTCTTTCTTTGTTCTGTATACTTACTGTTTGATTATTATGTGGCAGGAAGAATTTCTTTTCTAGTCTAATTTATTAGGTGGTTTATAGGCCTCTTCTATGCTTATAGGCCACTCCTTTAAATTGGGGAAATTTTCTTCTATGATGTTGTTGAAAATATTTTATGGGTTTTGGAGACAGGAGTCTTCTTCTTCCTCTATTCCTATTATTCTCAAGGTTTGGTCTTTTCATGGTGTCTTGGATTTCTTGGATGGTTTTGGTCAGGAATTTTTTAGATTTAACATTTTCTTTGATGGATACATCAATTTCTTCCATTGTATCTTCCACACCTGAGATGCTTTTTTTTTTTCCATCTCTTGTAGTTTTGTGGTTATACTTACCTGTGTTGCTCTTATTTTCTTCCCAATGTTCTTCCTCTCCATGATTTACTATGTTCATGTTTTCTTTAATTTTTCTGATTCTATCTTCAAAACAGTTTTCTCGTTTTCCTTCACCTGTCTGATTGTATTTAACTGCTTTTCCTTCAATTCCTTCAACTGTTTGTTTAAACATTCCTTTCAATGATTTAATTATTTCCACTCTGAATGCCACAAACTGTTTTGCTGCATCTTCTTGTATTTTTTTACAGAGAGCCATAATCTATTTGACTTCAGCTACTTCTATAACTTTTGGCATTTTATTTGTTTCCTCCATTTTTTCCTTCATAAGCATAGGCTTAAGGTAATCTTGAATTTCACTTATGTTAGGGTGTCCAGGGATACTTGTCTTTGGAAAACTAGATGCTGGAAATGTCATATTTCTTTGGCTTTGGTTGATTGTACTTTTATGCTGTCCTCTACACATCTGGCTGTCTCAGGTGTTATTTGTTAGTTTCTGGTGCCTGCTGGAATCGTGTGGTTGCAAGAATCCCCTTGGAAAGAAGGTGGCTGTTCCTGAAGAAGGCCTCTTCAGCTTTTGAGTATGGTCAGTGAATTCTCACAGCTCACCTCAGGTACATGAACCTGTGGGGTAACTATGGTTTCTGGTCTTCAGGGGGGCTCTTCTCTCACCATGAGAAGTCCTGGAGACAGCTGTCCTGCCACTGGTTTTCTTGCTCCTAATTTAGTGAGCTGCTGCTTCTGCTCTTATACTGTGTTTGCTGAGTGATGCCTTCTTTAAGAACCTCAGCTCTGAGGTTTGGTCATTTTGGGGCTGATACTGTGGATGCCAGGCATCTGGAGATCTCAAGTTGGAATTCTGTGCCCCAATACCCGAGCAATAATCAATGGCAGGTGAGGGCAGCACTGAGGTTTATGGTAGGATGCTAGAGCCTGGAGACTGGAACTTTTCTGGATTCAGATGGGTGACCTGAGGTTGGACCTGATGTTTCCCTCACTGTGTGGTTTCCTCCCCACAGGGAGACCCAGTCTTTGTTGTTTTGGTGTCCATAATTCAGTCTGGGGTGGTCATTAGAGCATGCTGGTGCCTGCATGAACCCAGAAACTTTTCTCTGTAACTTTTTGGCAGGAGGTCAGAAGGGTGTTGGCTGGATGCTCTGGGGTTGGACCTGATGTTTCCTTCACCATGGGATTTCCTCCCTACAGGGAAATCAACAGTTTGTTGTTTTGGGACCCACAGTTCTGTCTGGGATGATGAATTGGGTATGCAGGTGGCTCTCTGAGCTGGTGGCTGAGTGTCTGCTGGAGCCTGGGACCTTTTCCAGGTGTCTGGGTGACCTGAGGTTTGTTGGCCCTGAATGCTTCTTTCACCTTCTGGTTTTCTCTTGACTGGAAAACCCAGTTTCTGGTATTGTGGTCCCACAGTTCAGTCTGGGTGATCAGAGCAGGCAGGCATGTGTTTCTGGGCTGGTGACCAAGCACCTGCTGGGACCCAGGAACTCTTCAGGTCTTTAGCTGGGTGACCTGAGAATGGACCTTATTATTTCCCACACAGTGGTGTTTCCCCTCACAGTCACTGGTGTTTTAGGGCCCAGAATTTGGTCTATTGGTCGCTGTGCAGTCTGCTGTCCTGCTCCTCAGACACAGTGTCATCCCGGTGCTGCCACGTTAGATCCCCTCTAACTCCACAAGTATTCTTTAACTTCATCTGTAATCTAAGTATAATAATGAACCAGCCTTGCAAACAGTCTGGGGTTCACAGGTACTGTAGCAGTTGTTTTCACTGAAGGACTTGGCTATCATCCCTCAATGCATTTAATGAGAGAAAAGCACTGTTTGCCTCCACAGAACACACGTGATGGGACTTTTATCCTGTAGAGAGTGAAGGTTTGAAGAGGAGAAGTGGGAATGTTTAGGAGATGCTCAGATCCTGCAAAAGTGACCTAGTGATTGGTGAAGAGTTCACCAGGAGGTAGTTCTGCTTCCAAGTCCCTCATCATACACCACAATGGAACTAATATCTGATTTTTATTTTTGACTCATCACATTCACTAATTGCCAATCCCTGAGAATAAAATGCCATTTGCTTGTCCTCAATATGTTTACATTAAGGTTAGATTTAGATTGATTTAGAAAGTGTCACACATAGAGACGGAAAAATGGCTAATGGTATTCACTTACTCTATACCTGGGATTTCCTTTAAATGCCAAGGCAAATCTGCAATGCTCCCAGGAATTCAGTTCACTTTTGCATTTAAAAAATATCTAGGCACTGGGAGAGGTGCCTAGTCTTACTGCAACTTGATATGCCATGTTTGGTTGGCATCTGTGGGAGGCCAGCCATTTTGTGAAGAGAAATGGAAGAGAAGTGAGGATGGGGGGCAGAAGGAAAGTTGGGGTAGTAGAGGAGGAAGGGAAAACTGCAGTCAGGATGTAATAATAATAATAACAATAAATGATTAAAAAATCAAAGAAATAAGTATTTGATTTGACTGCCCAAAATGAAGAAGAATCAATTTACTTAGAGAAGGCTATTACATAACCCTCTTTTTTAAAATGTAATAATATATAAGCTATGTTCCAGGTTTGAAAGGCTGAAAGATCACTAGATCAATTTTTCTTTTGTGACAAACTTGAAGGGGGGGAAATAGCTTAGTATCTCATAGCCTATCAGTGAAAAAGCAAGGAGTCACTTTCTTTTCACATCTTGCACTTTGATTTTACTGGTTAGAGTAATAAAAAATTAACCATTTCAGATCTTGCTGCTTTGTATTTATTTAACAGAGAAAACAATATTATTAGATTTTTTTTTTCTGTCTTGATGACTTATCTGTTATATGGTAAGCTTTTCTGGGTATGACTTGGTTATATTTATTAACTTTTGTTTATTTTAGGTAAGTCTTCCCAGTGATCCAAGCTGTGTTGAGGAAATCCTGCGGGTGAGTTAGAGCTTTTATTTCTGTGCCTTTTAACAATAAAGCAATCTATTTGTTTAAATTGTTGATACTGCTCTTCTGTTTCAAGACATATTATAACAAGGAATCGTTGCACTCAACAGCCATGCTGTTCTGGTTATATCACATGCTCATTGCTTACCTCCTATCTCTGTGCACTCTACTGTAATTAAAATTCTGTCAGTGTCTTCACTGGTCTGGCACAATTTTGAGTTCTGGATAGAGATGCTTCTCCCATTCTGTTGAAATTTTTCCTTTTCAAGCACCAGACTTTAAACATTATCTGTCTGCTTTCTGATTTTCAATGGCATCTCAATGCAATATGGTTATGGAGACTGAGTGGTGTGAAGGAGAGGAAGGGTAGGCTGATAAATCATGTATTTTATGGGCAATCGTATTTAGGAGAGTAGGAAGAGCTCAGGGGGAGAGCAAAGTTGAAATAGGTGGTAGTTAACATACAGAAAAACATATATATATATATATATATATAAAACCTTTGTCAGTTGGCATCATATGGTAATATAATATTAAAAGAAGATTAATACTAAGAGAGTTCCTGCTCTGGCTTTACCATTTGTCACTTTTGTGAATTTGTGACTTTGAACTTCATCTCTCTGAATCTTTTTTCTTGTATGCCAAAAATTATAATATCATAATTTTTTTGAATACCTCCAAATAGTATACAAATGTTCATTGTTATAAGAATTGATGACCAGTATAGGCATGTGGAAACCAAGCATGCCTTCTGCCTGGAAAAGAATGCAAAGTATGTCAGTGAAAACTTAGCGACCTTTCTCTCAATATCAGAATGACTATCCTTAGCACTTGTTCTTAGGTAAGAGATTTCTCTGCAGCCTGGTGTTTAAAGTCATCCCTGCCAATATGCTTTAAAGGAATAATAAAGAACACTAAGTTTCCTGTATTCAAGTTGGCCTGCTCAACACTTTTTCATACCATGGCTGTCTCTGAACGTGCTTCATCCCAAAGACATTCCTTTTGAACATTAAAAATACTGTCTTATCTGTATGATTGGAGATGATACTGTATAAACTAAACATATGGTGGCCAATTTGTAAGATAAGATCCTAGCAATTTATTATCTGTCCTTGGGGCTCTGGGTATTGACAGAAGGTATGGTAGTCAGAGTGAAATCTACAAGTATGGTACACCCTGAGAACATGGCTATTTGTACTGTCCTATTGAGTAGATCCAGAAAATTATATACAATCCTTCCTTGTTGTCAACCAACATCCTTAAAGAAAGGCAACAGTGAAAGAAATGGCTTACTCAGTGGACATGTTAACCTCCATTTTCTGGCTTTCTCAGTGGACATGCTAACCTCCGTCTTCTCTGGCTCCTCTGAGGGGCAAGCATAAAGTCAATTAGTCAGATCTTTTTCTTTATACCCAAAATGTCAAATCCATCTAAGAGTCACCACCTAACTTGTCCCAACTGAATTCTATCCTTCAGGGCAGAAAAGCCTGGTGCTTAAGTGCTTCACACAGTGACAGTGCGGGCATTAACTAGAACACCTGTCAGAATCCGACTGGTTAGTGAAACAGCAAATGTAAACTTAAGTATGGAAATAAAGGCAAATTGTCTTAATAAGTTCATAAATGGTAGCAGCAAATGAAGAAGTAACAAAAATTCTTGTGCTATTCTTAGAAGAAAATTTAGGGCAAGTTGGTGTTTTGTTTTCTGTTTTGGTTGATTGATTTGCTTTGTTTTGGAAGGAGCATTGATTATAAAGAATGCTTTTTGGTTCATTTTCTTTAGCAGTGTTATAAATGAATAGATTTTCTCTTCTGGAAGAGTGGATTATTTCATTCCTCATATATGAAACAGAAATTAACTTCCCAAGGTTTATTCCCTAAATTTTGTGACTAATTTTAAATTTTTGTAGACCATATTGCATGTCAAAACAGAACATGCTGTGGGAATTTGTTTTGTTTTAATTACATGTACATGCTGCTGGTTTCAGGAACTTTGTTGTTTGTAGGTTGTTCAATACTAAGCCTATTTGTCACTTTACTCATCTGCCTCCCTCTTCGGGGAAAATGTTTTCTTTTTCTCAATTCCTCTTCTTACCCCTTCTGTGCTTGTCAAGCTAAATTGATTCAAAGCAGGCACTTTTCCCTTTTTCAGTTTTTCCTTGAATCCTTCTGTGCTTTCTAAACTAATTTATTTAAAAGCAGATTCATCTCTCCTATGGAAAATTACCATGTAGGTAGAAGATTTGAGTCTAGGCCACTGAAGGGGAAGAATTCACTCCAAATTGCTCTTGGTATTTCTTTCCTTCAGAGCTGCATCAGTCCGTTTATCTAAACCACATAGGATGATTACCCCCTTTCTACTTCACTGCCTAACTTCAACAAAGAACTTTTTAAATTAAATTTGTTCTTTGACAATTTGATATATAATCAATATATGCTTTCTGATTACTCTTATCTCCCCTCTACCTCTGTGAACCAATCCCTCTATCAATTCCCTTTCCACATGTATGTCAAGTTGTTTTTTTCCTTTTATTTTTTTAATGAGCAACATAGAAACAGTTTTTTTTACATTTAATTTTTTTCTTTATTATTATTATTATTAATTAATCTTTATTCATTCTGTATCCCCCCATAAGCCCCTCCCTCCTCTCCTCCCAATTCTACCCTACCTCCCTTTTCTTCATGCATGCTCCTCTCCATGTCCACTAAAAGGGAAGGTCTTCCTCTCTTTCCTTCTGATCTTAGTCTATCAGTTCTCATCAAAATTGGCTGCATTGTCTTCTTCTGTGGCCTGGAAAGGCTGCTTCCCCCTTAGGGGGAGGTGATCAAAGAGCAGGCCAATCACTTTATGTCAGAGGCAGTCCCTCTTCCCATCACTATGAAAGCCACTTGGATACTAAACTGCCCTGGGCTACATCTGTGCAGGGGTTCTAGGTTATCTCCATGAATAGTCCTTGGTTGGAGTATGAGTCTTTGGGAAGTTCCCTGTGTTCAAATTATCTTGTTCTGTTGCTCTCCTTGTGGAGTTCCTGTCCTCTGCAGCTCTTGCTATTTCTCACTTCTTACATAAAATTCCATTCACTCTGCCCGCCAGTTGGCCATCAGGCTCAGCATCTGTTTTGATAGTCTGCAGGGCAGAGGCTTTCAGATGCCCTCTGTGGCAGGTTCCTAGGTTGTTTCCTGTTTTCTTCTTCTGGCTTTCAGAGGCCCTCTGTAGCAGGTTCCTAGGTTGTTTCCTGTTTTCTTCTTCTTCTGATGTCCATCCTCTCTGCCTTTCAGGATGGGGATTGAACATTTTAGTTAGGGTCCTCTCTTTTGCTTAGTTTGTTTAGATGTACAGATTTTAGTGGGTTTATCCTATGTTGTATGTTTATATGAGTGAGTATATACCGTGTGTCTTTTTGCTTCTGGGACAACTCACTCAGGATGATCCTTTCCAGGTCCCACCATTTACCTGCAAATTTCATGATTTCCTTATTTTTCATTGATGAGTAATACTCCATTGTATAGATGTACCACAATTTCTGCATCCATTCTTCAGTTGATGGGCATCTGGGCTGTTTCCAGCTTCTGGCTATTACAAATAAAACATGGTTGAGCAAATGTCCTTTTTGTGTAATTGAGCCTCTTTTGGATATATGCCTAGGCGTGGTATGGCTGGATCTTGAGGAAGCGCTATTCCTAGTTGTCTGAGAAAGCGCCAGATTGATTTCCAGAGTGGTTGTACAAGTTTACATTCCCACCAGCAGTGGAGGAGGGTTCCCCTTTCTCCATAAGCTCTCCAGCATGTGTTGTCACTTGAGGTTTTCATCTTGGCCATTCTGATGGGTGTAAGGTGAAATCTCAGGGTTGTTTTGATTTGCATTTCCCTAATGGCTAATGAGGTTGAGCATTTCTTTAAATGCTTCTCTGCTATTCAATATTCCTCTACAGAGAGTTCTCTGTTTATCTCTGTTCCTCATTTTTTAAGTCAGGGATATTGTTTCTTTGTTTAATTTCTGTTTTGTTTACCTGTTCTTTGTTGAGAGTGGGGTGTTGAAGTCTCCCACTATTAATGTGTGGGGATCTATATGTGATTTAAATTTTATCAATGTTTCTTTAACAAATGTGGGTACTCTTTAATTTGGGGCATAGATGTTCAGGATTGAGATGTCTTCCTTATGGAATTTTCTTTGATGAGTATGAAGTATCCTTCTCCATCTCTTTTTATTAATTTTGGTTGAAATTCTATTTTATCAGATATTAGAATGGCGACTCTTGCTTGCTTCTTTGGTCCATTTGCTTGGAAAGTCAGCTTCCAACCCTTTACCCTCAGGTAATGTCTATATTTGTGTTTTAGGTGTGTTTCCTGTATGCAACAGATTGCTGGGTTTTGTTTACGTATCCATTCTGTTAATCTGTGTCTTTTTATTGGAGAGTTGAGTCCATTGATGTTGAGAGAGATTAATGACCAGTGGCTGTTAGATCCCTTGATTTTGATGTTGACTGTGGTCATCAGGTTGTGTGCTTGGTTGCTTTTTGTTTTACTGTGGTAAGGTTAATTATTTCCTGTGTTTTCTTGAAAGAAGCTAATTTTTTGGGGTTGTATTTTCCCTTCCAGTGTCTTCTGTAATGCTGGATAAGTTTGTAGTTATTGTTGAATTTTTTTTTTGTCATTAAATATCTTGTTTTCTCTGTCTATGTGGACTGAGAATTTTGCAGGGTATAGTATCCTGGGCTGACATCTGTGTTCTCTTAGGGTCTGCGTGATATCCGTTCAGGCCCTTATGGCTTTCATAGTTTCTGTTGAAAAGTCAGGTGTGATCCTAATGGGTTTGCCATTTTATATTACTTGGCCTTTTTCCCTTGCAGCTTTTAGTATTTTTTCTTTGTTCTGTATACTTACTGTTTTGATTATTAAGTGGTGGGAAGATTTTCTTTTCTGGTCAAATTTGTTGGGTGTTCTGTAGGCCTCATATATTCTTATTGGCCTCTCCTTTAACTTGGGGAAATTTTCTTCAA